AAGTAAAAATATTGTTCATAAACATTTCAATATATTAAAAAAGTGTTTAACAAGAAAATGTCAATCATTTCTACATCAAATATAAGTATTACTAATAGAAATTTTAAAAATCGTGCTAGATATGTAATAAATTTGCAAAGTCGACCATTTATTAAATCACATATTGGTATATTCAACAGTTTGCAGAATCAAGAGTCCATTTAAAAAAAATCTGCGAAACAATGGATTCAGAGAGCTGGAAAGTTCCGCGAGAACAAAGCTCTGAAAATAGAACGAAAATTCTGAATACCTATATATATTTCAAAGAATTACAATATAAAATAAAAATCTAAACAAGGGTTTCAAATTATTAATTTATTCGAAAATATCTTAAGAAAATCCATAGAAGCGAAGCTCTATGAACTCAAACATCTAAAAGTTCTATATTATAGGGAATAAAAAATGAGTGACGAGAATAATTTTTCAAGGTGTCCTTCTTCTATTGTAACATGTTCAAAACTAAAAGTTCACGATATTTTTTGTGCATTTATCATCGTCATATATTTTTGTTATTTGGTAAGAAAGTGTTTGCATCTCGAAGACAGACAGACATTTTCGATAGATAAGCCGTATCATGTCAGACCGACATCTCAAGTCTGAATTTCTAATTATTGCAAGCCGTAATTAATAACGGACATGTGCGGTTTATCGTAGTTCATCATTCACCTGCGCAAACACCTAATTGCATCGCTCGGCACGTAAGATTCTCCACATCGCATGTGGCATATCTCCATTAACCACAATATAGCAACAACCTTGCCATATCGCGTAATTAAAAATAATTGAAATTTCTAAAATAATTTTTCCTTAGTTAATTTCCATTAATTTTCTCTGAAAACGTCTCGGATTATTTTAGTGCGTTATTACAAGTTTATGAACGATCCCAATCATCAGACTGATATTAAGTTATTTCTTTATTATTACTTTATTATTTGAATATTAAAAAATAGAGAATTTAATATAGGTAGAAAAAGTAACTAATATGAAAGCAAAGGTATAAATATAGCAACAAATCCTATTCTCTTTATTCAGCGATTGAAAATTTCATTATTATCTCTCCGCTATTAAGCTTCCATCCGAAAATTGGGGCGAGCCTACACTTAATCGATTTTCCAAATATCTGACGTCACTCATGACGTCTCTTAAAGAGAGAGAGTGAGAGATATTTCAAGTTCTCGTTCTCGCTCAGCTAAAGCAACGTCAACATTGTGATGTCCTCCGTTATCGTCAACGTCAATAACGGAAGTAAAACGAGACATGAGTGCGGTTATTTATATTGAACGCCACGGGCGCGACATTTTCCACAAAGTGGAATATTAATCGCAAATGTCAAAATCATTCCGAATGTGAAAAGCGAAATACGCGATCGCGCGATTGGAAAACATTCGTTTTCAAAAGAATAACAGGACAGATTACACGCATGATAAAAGTAGTAAATCATCTTCTTCGAATAAATTGCTCTAAGTTTGCATTTTCGAAAACAAAATTAAAATTATGATTAATAACCGAAGTGATTTATAATTTTTATTCACGGATAAATCATATCTGTGTAAGATTACTTATAGTGACCAAACTACAAAAGAAAAAAATTTTTCTCTAAACCCAATAAAATAAAATTAGAAATTATATTTATAAATATATCTTCTTAATTAGATAATTTTATTAATATTTATAATTATAATGAATATTAAAATCCAAAATGTACAAGATTATTTGATAAAAAGTTTATTTAAATGGAATATGAGAAAAAATAAAATATTTAGTTAAATATTTTAAAAATAATACATAATATTTATTAAGTGAAAAAAAATATTTTTACACAATCACTTAAAAATAATTTTTTAGATAACGTTTTTAAATTTAAATATTAAAAAAATGTTTAGCTGAATAATATTTTTAAATTTAATTTAAAAAATTCATCAATAACAATACATGAAATAAACGATAATATATTATCTAAATCTAAATCCAGCCTGTTGATGTTGCAAGCAAACATAGCAAATACATAGACTTAAAGATCAAAGATATATTTCAAGGATATGCAAATGTAATGATCAATAGATTTTGAATTCAATTCATGAAGTCAAGTATTTGTGAATCTATGAATATATAAACGAACAATTCATGATGACTAATCACTCGAAATATGCGCAGCATCCGTGAAATGAATTATAATTTCTAGAATTTTCTTAAGAAAATATTATAAATTATTATTATAACATGAATTAATTATTTATATTAAGAATTAGTGATATTCTATTTCATAAATATTACGCATTTTCTAAAGAGTTAATTCTATCAGTTTTAAGTATTATTCCAAATACAATAAGAAATAATTTCAATAGGATAAATTTTAAAGGAAAAAAGAAATATCAAATTTATGAATTATTTGGAAAATATATGAAATATATTTCCATTTCATACCATTATAGAGTTATTTATATCTAAGGTTATTTATATCTATTCGATATTACAAAATATTCAAATCAATGGGATGAATAATGTTATCCATAAACATAAGAGAATCATTTTATCTCATTTATCTTTTCCATTTTATGAAATTTATCTGATTTATCAACATTCACAGAGAAAGGACATTTTTGTTTTGTCATTATTAAATATAACAATATAATAACTGTTGCTAATTAAATACAAAGAAATGCAAAAATTGTAACGTGCGTATCTACAATGGGAGGCTATTTCCAGAAAGAGAAAGGGAACTCTTTCTCTAAATCAAAAACTCCAAATTTTCTCTCTCTCTCTCTCTCTCTCTCTCTCTCTCTCTCTCTCTCTCTCTCTCTCTCTCTCTCTCTCTCTCTCTCTCTTCTCTCTCTCTCTCTCTCTCTCTCTCTCTCTCACTTCCTCTCTCTTTCTCTCCTTCATTCCATCTCTCCTTCATTCCATCTCTTTCACCATTTCTTTCCTACGCTACTGCTCATCATCGATCACCGGAACGCAGGCTATCAAATTGCTCGATTCACAGCGGCGATCACGCGCGCCGTTTCGCAATTCGTTAATAATTTCCTGCCAAGCACGCAGTCGATTTGTCGCTCGGTTGTACGCGCTTATCAAAACGCGCCAATCGATCGCCGACTTACCGATTCTCCAATGAGCTCCCCGATCGCTGACAACTGCTCCGATTGTGGATCCACTCGCGAAATTCACACGCGGCAATCACACGCGACGATTGTGCGGCCGCAAGGTGTTCCCCGGCATTTTCACGCGACGACTCCTCGGACGCAGCCAAGCCGAGGAGGCCCTGCGCTGGGATGTCATCTCGGTTGATAAGGTAGCTCCTTCGACGCCTGCGCCATCGTGATGGAGAGCTCAATGCCGTATCTAGCATTTCTGATGAATCAAATAAGAGAAAGAGTGTCTTTTTTTCTCATCGCCCTTTCACCTCGGCCCGTATTCTGAATCTTCTTTCATCGATGAAAATGCCTCTAAAACTGGCTTATAACCTGTTGTGAGACACTTTTAGAGGCACTTTTATCGATAAAAAGGAATTCAAAGTATGGACTTTTGTATCTAAGCGAGATGTTAAAATCTTAAAGATATTTGGACTTTGGACTTTAAACTTCCTGGCATCTTTAATATTTAAAGATCTTTTATCTTTCAGTTCTTCTTTTATCTTTCAGTTTAAGCAACTTTGCAATTTCTGGATTAATCAAACATTTGCATCATTTAACTTTAAAATTCTCTTAACTTTAGAATTCTTCAATTCTTTAAAATTATATTTTTATACACATTGATAATTTAACAATAATTCTAATATTTCTTGATAAATTTATATATAAAACTTGATAATATTTTTTAATCTTCAAAGCTTTGATCTTTATTATTTCAATCTTGTATTTTCGAACATCAGTACCACTCTAAATTTTTTTAATTTTGCCGAGATAAGATTTCTACATTTCTTTCGCCTTATAAAAACTTTGTTTCAAGACAAATAAGTTGAATATTCTTTTTCATAATTTTTTTAACTTTTATTTATCTAGAAAAATATCTTTGGAATTAATTTTTCAATTATTTTTTTTCTGACAGAAGACAGCATATGACATACAAATTTAATGATACAACACTAGATTTTTATTACAATTAATGCTGATGTTGGTGGACAACTTCGATGGACGTACAGAAACAACCAATGATTATTCGCTGCGATTATACGCAGATCGCGCCGGCGTGTCAGCTGTTTCATTTAAAACTCACCATGATGACTACGTTCCGTTTAATTCACAGACAGACGAACAAACAGAACGAAACATATGTGATGTTTTCAGATATTTTATCGGAGTAAATATATCAGATCCTTTCATACAAATCTACTTCATATTGTCTTGTTTTAAACATGTGTTGTCCATATGTGATTCTGTACATACATCATTTTTCTGAATTCTCCTTTTTCTCCAAGTTTATGCTCATGTGTTCTATGTATCCATCCGCTCTTTCGTCTGCAATTCAATTATGACGCAAAATATCAAGCATTGCGATAATTTATAAAAACTTCCATGAAAATTGAAGAGAAAAATTTGAGAAAAAAATGTTTTTTTCTATGACAATTTGTATTTTAATAATTAATATCTTGAAAGCTATCAGCTTCGTAACGTTCTTAAAGAAAAGTCTCAAGTTAGTTAAAAAAAAATCCTGAAATTAGAATTCTGTAATCTTTGCCGCTTTACGATAATAGGCCTGTTCTTTTTAACTGAACATTCTTGCACAATTTATCATTCATTTTTCTTTCAGTATTCAGAAAAAAAAGATGAACCATGCAAGAAATTCAGCTAAAAAAGGATCAGGCCTAATCATAATTATATTGCGGACAAATTCACATCGTTTGTATATGCAAGATGGAGATCCAGAAGAAAAAAGGGTGCAAGGCTTCGAGCATCCCTAGCTGCTCCTGCGCCCTTATTGCTCTAGTTACGTCACTGGCCGGTCGTCCGGCCGAACAGACGTCGTCATAGTGAAAATCCGCCAGTTACGGTGGGGTTGCAAGGGTGAGCGCACGTTACGTTCTCGACGTCGCCGGTTGTGAGCGAGTTTTTCCTCGGAGGAAAGGAGCGTCCAGCGGAAGGAAAGGAAACAGACGTCTCGAGGAAATATCCTCGATCGGCCGTTTCTCGGCGCGGAAACCTGTGCACGGAGCGATACGGAGCGGAGCTGAAAGCTGAGCACGGCGCAGCGCGTGGAGGCGGAACGGAGCACGCTCCTCATCGATCCTCGACGGCGCAGGTAAATCCCGGGTGCGCCCTTATTTCTCGCGACGGGGCGAACGGCGACGCTGCGAAGGACCGGCGCAAAGAATTGGGAAAAGAGAAAAAAAAAAAAGAGATACGATGAATTTGAGAAATATGAAGAATCTTTGAATTAATTTCCTGCGAGTATTAAAGAGGGTATTCGGGTAGGCGAATCCTGTCGTGTTCTTATTTCTCGATATTCCATTCCGGGGATGTAACGGGAAAAGCGAAAAATCCGCGAGATTTGGGAGGGGGGGGGGGGGAGGAACGAGGGAAGTAAGAAGTCGGAATCACGGGAACCTCTCGAAGGTTTCACAAATACATAATGACTTTTCACATTTCAATTTACCGTTGTGAAAAAAAGGTTCGACAAATCGCTGTCGATGATTGAAATTTCCTCATCACGATGGGGAAATATTCTTTTCTATATATTCCTGATTTCGGCGAACCTCGTGACCCCGATAGAATACCGTCTGACATTTTACATTCGCGAAGCACGAATAACCTCCCACACTTCGATATACCGTCATTAAGGAATCGATAGTGCCGATGAGGATAAGGCAAATCTATAGCAGGGAAATTCTATATGTCGGTATGAAATATCACCGCGGTATCGCCGCGTTTGTATTGACGTGAAGAAATTTCAGCGGCAGTTTTGCACAATTGAATTCTCAACTGAGATTATTATTAAATTTTCTCTTGACGTATGACGTAAATTATTGCTGTATGAAGGACAAGTCGTAAAATGTGTCGTGTATTTTGCAAAATTTGACTCTGACTCGTAGATCATTTTCCTATATACGATATATATTTTCGCGTGTAAAAATGCATTTTCTTCGCAAAGCTTCTCGTTATCTGCGTACAAATCTACACCTACGCGTCCAAACTTCTATTTGTTATAAAGAAAGGAAAAAATAATTTATTTTCCTCGTAAAAAATTCACGAGAACGTAGGGAAACATCGCTCTGCTCGCAAGAACCGGGCGAATCGTCTACTTTCACACGAAGAAAATCTTGTTGCTCTTTGTGTTTTCTGAAGAAAACTGAAATTGAGTCTCCAAAATTCTGTTATTCTCAACGTCATAAGTCACACGACGAGGAGGAGAAAGGGTGGGGTGACACTCCATCAAAATTCCAACGGATCGTCGCCGTTCTGTTTTGTCGGAATTTCATGCGATTAGACTGGGATTAATTTACGCTCGTCTTATTTTTTCTCGTTCTACACACAAATTGCTCGTCGGGGACAGCTAAACTTCTCCTTTGATCGGGCAGGAACGCTAGTTCATCGGCCGACATGCCTGAGTATCGATCCGCGCTTTATTCCGCGATATCGCTCGCTCTCCTTTAAGACTTATCGACCTCGTAAGTTGCACGAACCGGCCGCATGTCTAGCCGCATAAAAATTTTATTAATAGCAACACCTGCATTTTAATAAGACCGTATTATATTTCCTAACGTCTCGCAGCGCTCGAGAATATTTTATTAAAAATAAAAAAAAACTAAATAACCGAACTCGGTGGCTCGAATAAGGTGGAAACACGTTATGCCGATTTTCCGACTTATTGATTCTTACGTGATATGTAATGTAAATTGATTCTTCCGCAGTTTAATTAATAATCGTATGAAATTAACGCGGAAATTAATATACTACGCGTGATAATAATTGTCTTTATGAATTGCAGCTTCAAACGTTTATTATTTTTTTTAGAATAACAGACAAATAGCGATAAATGTTCTGTAATATTTGGCACTTACATCTCTTAAGTTTATGGAATGATCCTTTCATGTTTAAACCTAAACACGTTCCACGTTTGAAAGAACATTGTCACAAATCACATTCAGCTCACAATCATCCGTATCTGGTTTCCTTCTTGGTAATTTTAACAATTTATACAGCCACTAATGAATGCAGCACTAATTAAATGATTTCTTTAGACATGTTTTAGTTGCATGTTTCAGCACAGTTAAGTAGAAAAAAAAATGTAATTGTCGAAGAATATCAGCCACGAAGCGAACGGAAAAAAGGATCGGCTGATAATTCGCTTCGCAGGAATGCCTGCCATGTAGAATACGATACGCCCTCGATAACGCGATAACTAATGGGAAATTAGAAACTCAGAGATCTGTTATACGCTTCAATTATCTATCAACTCCCGATATCAAATGTTTATTCCGGTACTTATCATCGGTATCATGTTTGTAAATGTTGATGCCGCTATTGTACAGGCTCGTCATCAACTGTAGCAAATTTTCGTTTCGGCGAAACGAATCCTCCTTAATGAACGGCGCGCGGGACGTAAAAAGATTTGTTATCAAACGCGATTCGCTGATTGAGCGAATTTCGTGACGCGTGCAAATCATGCACTCGTCGTATGTCTCCAGCGTCGATAATGGAAATGCGAAGACGCGTAGTGGTCGCAATAACGCGGAATCTTTCCAGTCTGCCGATTAGCCTGTTGTGAGACGTTGTGATTATCCCCGTGTCGGCCTTGGCGCGATAATGACTCTTGACGCTGCATGACGCCTCACTCTCGCGAAGATAACGAGAATGTTTGAATTATGATTAACCGCGCGGAAGTTGACTATCCTCTGTCTGAGACTCCTGTCGAGACGTGCGCAGGTATTTTATTTACGCGCGATGTCATTTTTCTTTATTGTATATTTATATGTTTACTGAGGCAAGGAAAACGCACGCGCGAGAGAGGGAGAAAGAGAGGGATGGTGTGCTCGTTTCTATTTATCTCCACGGTTTTTACAAAGATTCCAGTAAAGGAATTTGTGTAAGACCACCCGCGAAGTACGAGATTTGCGTAAATCTCACTGCAACACGCAATGTATTTAGATTGTATAATCTCACGACAAAATGATGTTATGACTTTTGTATGACTTGAAATATTGACATCAAACAGCTTTTATCCGATTGTTCTTCAGAGCAAGAAGTTATCCGAGACATTCGGTTCTTTTTAATTATCTAAACATATAATACACAAATAAGTACTCGCAGGGGATTATTTTTCATGAAGAAGCTTCATTCTTTCTTTCTATATATATAATATGGTTAACATCAAAATTGGTATAATAATATTTCTATCATTTTAATTTTTTATAAATTTTTGAAATCCTCAATCTTTCGATATTTTAACAAATAACTATTTCTCTTTTTGTCTCTTTTCGGTTAACTTTTCTAGTCTCAAAGAATGATAAAAATTATTTTTAAAAAATGTTTATAGAATATTAAGTCATTTTTTATATATTAAAAAATATATAAAAATACTATATAAATTGATTATTTGAAATAAAATTATTTTATTTGAGATTAAAATTTAATAAAAATTTAATAAAATTACTGTAATTAAGATTATGTAACGAATAAATAAGGAAAGGAGGAAAGAAGAAATAAATAAGAAAAAAGAAAAAATAGAGAATAAATAAAGGAAAATCATTAATGAAAATTACTAACTGAAAATTATTAGTCGTTTAGACATTTAATCTTTAGACTTCAAAACATCGATAACATCAGAAATAATCAAATTCTAATTACGAGAAATCTTGAATAATTTGCGCAAAACAAATCTGCATCTGATCACGTTAACGCGAAACAGATTTAAAAATATGTGATTTCCGCAACGAACAATCTTCATTTGCTGCGGAACACCCCATATATATATATATATATTCATTTATTCGATTATATTTTCCTTCGCGCCATTCTTATTCCACATAAAATAATTAACCATTTAATTCCACATATACAGCATACTTTATCGCGACTCGCTCGAGGAGATTAATAGTGACGTCTTTTTTAAGCCTTCTCTTTCTTTCTATCCACGATATTCTCTTCATTGCGCGCAGTAACCTAATTATAGAATGGAATTGTTATCTAACGACCGCGCGAATAACGGCGCTTACGCATTTACGCAATCTTACGTTTCGTCGTTCGATACCTTTTTTTTCCTCTATTGCTTCGTAAACGTTGGTACGCAGTAAAATCTAACGATCTCTCTCGTCTTCTCACTCTATTCTTCTGCGTCTGTTTTCCTCTTCTCGTCAATCGCGTTATCGACCGCACGGAGTTCGTGTATCGTTTTGCGTCAACCGCATGACGAGGCTGATTTGCATTTCTTGAGAACCGCGCGACGCGATATCAGAAAGAGACAGAAATAGGGCATGCAATATAACGCAATAAGAGTGCAAATCGACTTAATAAAAAATTCGAAAAAAAGGAGCAAAAGTTTATAATTTAAAGTAATTAATCGCGATTAAATTCTGAAGGGATCAATCATAGATAAGAAAATTTAAAATAAATGTGATACAGAATATCCTAGAATATAAGATTCTGTCGCTTTTATTGAAAATTATAGATGCGTACGTAGTATCATTATTATTATATTTATATATAAGAAACATTGCACGGACTATAATATTAATAAAAGCGTGTGTTACGAGATTATTAATAACACATTCATATAAAACAAGTTTAATTACATTCTTATGAATATTGAAAGAAATATAAACGTATGAAATTGAATCATAATCAACACGAAATGATTGAACGATGCCTATTAATTTTTCGTTATCTTTCATTAAATTGACAAAGATACACGACTATCATTTTTTATTATAGATGTAAAATTCTTGGTGTACTCTTTTTGCGACGTTAAAATTTATGTATTTCTGACATTCATAATTTTTACGTTTAGAGAGTAACATCCGATTCTAGAATTTTCACATTCATATACTGCGTGTGTTAATAATAGACAGTTTTAGCATTCACAATTTACGCCTTTGAATAATAAACATTTGAATTCTAGAACTTCAATATTTATAGATTGAGAGTTTATTAATAGGCAGATTTTTAAACAAGATAGTATTGTCTAATTGTAACTAAAATAATTTGTCAAGCAAAATTTAACTCACATTTTCTCATAATTTTTAAAGTTTTACACGTTTAATAAAATTTACACGCACACACATCATTGTCTCTCAACACAAAATTAATGCAAAATCCATGTAATGAATATTCAGTCAGTTAATAAGATATTATCTTCCAAAGCGCACTCCAAAATTCTCCATTCATTTTTTTATTAACTGAATGCAACAAATGTTTTATAGCACTCCATATTATTTTATTTTAACATGATTTGTCACAATACGAAGAATATCGCCACGCAATAGCATTCCTATTGGACCAATTCATAGTCAAGAAATATATTAACTAGCGTACTTTGGCCCAAGTTTTTCTTTGTGTCGTGTTTCTTTAAACTGTTATTTTTCACTGCTCATACAACAGGCAGTTACAAAGTACAACGCTCTATCCTAAAGCCTTTTAATCTGTTATTCTACAATTCATTCAATGTGTCAAAGACTTTAATTTTTAATTTTTATCTTAAAATTTCTAACGTCTCTTGAGACCTTCCATAAATAATGAGATTTCCCGACGTGTAATGTTAATATAGAATCTCTACTTCAAACACATCCGTCGGACATTTTTTTCCAGGAGTATTGACCCGCATACAAATCCCTTTCGAACCGATTAGATGTTCATTTTATCGCAGTTATCGCGTAAAGCGCGTTGCATATACGATAAGCTTGGATTTGATACGCGCGGGATTAATGGCGCTTGAAACAATTCCAGGAAATGATATTTCTCCGATCGTTGACAGAATTACGAATCGTACAGGCAAATGTAAGCGGTTACGATTAGACGACGACAATAAGTAGCGTTATTTCGCGTAGATGTGCGAATTGGAGCAGACGGGCAGGCCGGACGGAAGAAGATAGAGATACGAGGAGAGTCAGAGAGAGGGAATGGCAGATGTGCTTGCAACATGCTGTTTTACACACGAGATATGATGTTAACGAGTACGAGATCAAATGGGACACCGCCTTGTCCTTGTTAAATTCTATTAACATAAATCTTTGCTCGGCAAAACTTACACCGTATACGTACACAACAATTCCAAACGTTAAACAGATATTGCTTACTGCGAGTGACTAAACTCGTATTTTTGCGAATTCTGATAAAGATTCTCGCTTAGTCACTAAAAAGATATAAGATTATATAAGTTTCTCAGCATTACTTTGTAAGCTTTTGCAGAAAGTCTCGGAAAAAATACCATAAATTTTTTTAAAGGTAAAGAATTACTGTACGCACAAGTTTCGAAACAAAGATAAAGTATTCTGAAGTGTATATTGTAATATTGTAATATTAATAAGTGTAAGTGTAATATTGTAATAGATAATAGCTTGAAAAATAGTTACCATAAAGCACTGAAATATTTTCACCTATAAAGAATCCTGGGACAAAATAGACGTTACAAATTATTTCTCAACTTTGAATTAGTCTAGTGGAAATTTTGTTTGCTGTTAGTCTGGTAAAGTTTGACGATGGGTTTCTAGAATATTAACAATACAAATGCTAAACTCATTTATTATACATTCAATGCTAAGCCAGAATACAGGCAAGAAGTTTTCAATTTCCGAGCGAATCAATGTATTGCATTTACCAAGATCGATAAGACTTGTATTTTCACATACTTTAAATAATCCTTGTTTATCTTCGTTTTTATAAAATGTAACACCTGTCAGATGTCAGCTATCAATTATTAAATATTGTATGTCGTTGTTATTTATTTCTTCTTAGTACGTAGAACCGTATGTAATAAAAGTTTTTGAACATCGATATTTTTGACAATTGAAAAACATTGAGAGTATATCAAAATAGTCGAGATAATTACGTGTATCTCAATTATTCGTACTTGGATTATTTATTTATCCGTAAATTAAAATTTGTTTAATAATGAAAAATGATACTTAATATTTAATGATGAAGAACGGTACTGAATTTTTATTCATGATAAAAGGCAATAGATCCTTTTAATTATCGGTTATCTGTGTTATTATTACAGTCAACATAAACGTCGTTAAAGCGTCTAACAAAGATGTTATACTAAAAGTGTAAAGATAAGTACGATGATATACGTTTAAGTTTTAGTCTGACTAAAGTGCTACATGTCATCTCGCTTCGTCGATGAGAACAAAAGAAACAAAAAGAAACAAAAGAAACAAAATAAGCCAACGCGTTTGTTCCAAAATAATTTATCGCGGAATTCGAAAATGATGTGATGTTTCGGAATTCAGATGACGAAATCTTGATCGAGGACATTGAAATAATTGGCTCAAGAATAGTTAACGCATTCAAAACTTCATTAATATGAAAACCGTGTTAAAATCATCGCGTCATTCAGACCAAGATATTCGAAAACGAGAGACACGTCGGAACAAGTTATATTCGAGACGACACGTGCTTCGCGACACGTTTGCTTCAAAAGGACTCATCACGAAATCCAGAGCGAAAGGCGAAGCGAGCGAGAGAGAGAGAGAGAGAGAGAGAGAGAGAGAGAGAGAGAGAGAGAGAGAGAGAGAGAGAGAGAGAGAGAGAGAGAGAGAGAGAGAGAGAGAGAGAGAGAGGAGGTACCGTACGTGGGAAACGGAATAGAATTAATTAAATCGCGCAGGCAATGCGCCGTTTCGTCGCGTACTTCGCATAACGATTAGCCGTACCTGAAAGGAGGCGCTTGAAATTGCGTAGAACAAATCGCTGCGAAACTAAACGCATCGTCCTAGAAGAAAAAAAAAAAAGAGAGAAGAAAAAAAAGATTTCAGAATGAACGACCTCGAGACGTCGCAGAAGCATGCTCCGGAACAATTTGCATCGGAACTCGTCGGCGTGCCAAGAGAGGAAGGCGCTTCGGAGTGCGGCGCGGTGCGGAAGGCGCTTCGTGGTGCGACGCGGCGAGAATTAAGAGGGGCGAAGCGCCGCATTGGCACAGAGGGAGGACGCGCCAGAGAAGGGGTAGGTGAGGAGGAAGGCGACGTGCGTCGACGAGAGCGACGAAGCGAGGCTCGCCGAGTCTCGTGCGAGAGCAAGAGAAAAGGAACTACTGTCTAGAGACTGGAAGGGGAGGGAAGAAAGGGCAGGGAGGGGGAGCTTTTTCGGTTTTTAACGACATCCGAGCGTCGCCGTCTCAGTGCCCGTCCGACTCGTAGTTGGTGTATACGTGTTGGATTGTTATTTTTGTTCCTTCTCTAGCCAAAAAAAAAAATAATATATATATATAGATAATCGGAGCCGAACGATCTGGGAGGAGGCAGAGAAGTCGTTACTCAGAACTCACAGAACGCCCTTCTCCCTCCGTCAGACAGTTCGCAGTCGATCGTATATTTCGTACCGATTGCTCCCACGATCGATCGAGCAAAAATAGTTAACAACTCCGAATTGAACTAAATTGAATTGTTACAGTGGTGAGATCACGAAACGTGCACGCGGTAAATATTTTGCGGAATTTTCGAACGTGTTTTCTCATCCGAGCCGAGGACTTCGTGGAAACGATCCGATTGATAGTCGATAAATCGATCACATCACGGATAACGGACAGTCGAGGATCGTGCGAAGGACCTGTCTTTAAGGCGGTGCCGACCGGCGAGCAAGAAGACGCACGCAACTCTCCGGAAAGGCCTGCCTATCGCATTTTAGTTCTACCGGTAAGGAGAATCTTATATGCCACGTCGACTATCGAAGAATTACAAATGCGCCGGTTCGTGTAAATGCAACTCTTCGCGGTGAAATCCATCGGACTTTTTTTTGAAGCAATCTATTAAAATCCATAGCATAACTCAAATACCATTAAAAAATTTAATTGATCTAAAATTATCGGGAATGACTCATAGTGGATTCGTAATATAAATAGAATATTGCTCGATAGTTACAGGGACCTCAAAATTTCGAAACATTTATTTCTTTTTGAGCGATTCGTCAAAGAGCAGGATGGAAGATATATATGGTGAGACGAAAATTGCAAAATATGCAATTTTAACTTGTTTTTTTAGAAACGTATAGAAATATGGAATGTGAGATAACGTGTTTGAAAGTTGTATTTATATTACCAAAATGCATATTCAAACACATGACTGATGTAATTCAAAGATAAATATGTAATTTATGAGTCAAGAATATGAATATTTCATATTCTGTCTATAACTTATTGAGCTTATATCGATATTTACTAAGTTTACATTTATTTATATTTCTAGAAAATGAGAATATTAATATAGTTAAAAATTTGTTTAAAACTTTTTGTTTAAAATATCTTATATAGAATATCTTGAAATCTGAGTTTCGAAAAGTAGAAGAAAATTAAAGAAAGAAATAGTGTATTTTAAAAAAGTACATAAAATTTCGGATTTGTTCATAATGAAATCAATATATATTTTTTAAAAACACCCTGTATATAGAGAGAGACGCTGGTCGCCAAGTGTCCAATGCTCTCATAAGTAAACCCAGTCCTGACATATAACGTTCTTCCACACGTGTAATCCTTTTCTTCTTTTTAGTTCTTCCCCTCTCTTTTGCGCCGCTTTAGCGAGAAACGAGTCTCGAAATGAACAGGTTAAAATACGATAAATATGTTACGTGCATTCTTATGCATTTTAAGCAGTCACGTTTTCACTACCGTGACGGAATGTGAGAAATACGTAATAAATTTTCAGTAATAAATTTTCTTTTCAAAAAACGATTAGAAATAGATTATTTTTTCAAAAAAACAATTTGTTACAACTAAAAAGAAAATCATTTTTTTAATATGAAATTTTATCTTTATATTTGGTGTTTTGTGATGTTATTTTTTTAGCATTAACATTGGGTTTTTCCTCGCTTTAGCAAGAGCATATAGCAGGAAGTATAAT